TGGGTCGAACGACGGGTGGCGAGCCCCCCCCTCCGCCGGTCGAGAGGCCGCGCCCGCGGTCGAGAGACGGCAGAGAAGGCGAACGCGAACAAGGCGTGGAGAGGAAGGCTGCGGCGGCGGCCGCGAGCGAGGCCGAGCGTGCGGACTACCCGCACGCGCAGCTGCGCGAGAACGTCGAGTTCGTGATGGACGGCCTGGAGGCTGCGACGCAGGCGGCGCGCAACCCCACAGGGTCCAACATTCAGAGGTCGCCTTATCGCTCCCTCCCGAGGGGGGCAGCGGGTTCGGCGACCTGGTGTACGCCACGGTCCCTCTGGGCTCCGTGGCGACGAAGGTCGCCCGGGACTGGCTCGCCAACGAGCTCTACGAGCCGTCCCGGCGCGGCAAAATTGATGCGGCCTGCAGGGACCGAAAGGTCGCCGACCTGATCACGGCTGCCGGCGCCTCGGCGCCGGCCGACGCCGTGTTCAGCGGCAGGTTCGCGACGGGCGAGGCGCCCCGCCCGACGACCCCCGCCTCCAAGGCGGACGAGGGCGACGGCGTCGGCGGCGATGGCGGGACCGGCATCGAGCACTTTGACCTTTTCGAGCCGTCCACGCGCCGTTTTGTCACCCCCCCCCCCCCCTCGGCAGGTCATCGGTGCGCCCCGCTCGCACGAGGTCTCCGACGCGAGCGGCAAGTCGCTGTACGAGCTCGGGTACACCGACGCGCAGCTCGAAATCATTTTCGACCGCATCCTGCAGCTCTACACCGCCAAGGACCACAAGGGCAACCTCTACACCGCCGCCAACTCGGACGTCACGCTCACGGTGTACGACAACATCACGCTCAGGTCCAAAGAGCTGTACCTCAAGAAGTTCTCCCCGGACGACAAGGAGTGGAAGCACGTAGCTAAATCGGACATTGATGCGCGGCCGCAGTCGGGCTTCATCTCGCAGCACTTCGCTGCGGGCGGCGCCAGCTCGGACCCACTCCTGGGGCGGGGCCTCGGGGGATGCCCCCTGCCCCTGCGGCCGTTCCAGCCGTGGTTCCACGCGCCGGCCGTCCACTCCGCTCGTGGGGGGGGGCCGAGCTCTCGTCTCCCCTCGGGAAGGGGGGGGGGCAGGGCCCGGATTCGCCGACGGCCCCGCCTCTCCCCCCCCCGGCTCCGCATCGGGCCGCAGACTGCGCAGTAGTCGCGTCGCCTCCCCCCTCGCCTGGTCCTTCTCGATTCGGTCCCGCACCGCCCGGATATCAAAGGCCGAGTTGTGTTCGGACAGTGGGCCCGCCGATGCCACACGCCTCCTCACACAGCAGGCGTACGCCTTCAGCGCCTGCCCCCCCGACTGTGTCGGCCCCGGTGCGATATCGTTGACGAGGTAGTCCTCCCCCTCCCACCGGAAAACCTGTCCAAGAAGATCTGTCGAGCCGACCAGTCGTTTAGCCAAGCCCCGCACCTCTCGTGCCTGTACTGGCCTGAGTACAGCTCAGCATGCATTTTTTGTGTTGGTGTCGGCGCTCATAGTGAGTCTCCTCAAAGAACAGCGCTGCGCCTCGGTCGGCGGACCTCACTCACACACCGCACGCCCACGTCAGCCGTCACGCGCCGCGCGGCCGCCCACTCGCGTCCTGCGGTATTTTCATAAGCACACAAGCCGCCGCCGCCGCCACGCTGTCTGCACGCGACCCGAAGCTCTGAGCGCGCATCCCCTCTCCCCCCCCGCAGTTTCGGCTCCCGCGGCGACCGGCGTGGCGCGGCGCGATGCTGACCAAGTTCGAGACCAAGTCGAACCGCGTCAAGGGCCTCGCATTCCACTCGAGCCGGCCGTGGGTGCTCGCGTCGCTGCACAATGGCGTCGTGCAGCTGTGGGACTTTCGGATGGGGACGCTGATCGACCGGTTTGATGAGCACGACGGGCCGGTGCGCGGGGTGTGCTTCCACCAGAGCCAGCCGCTCTTCGTCACCGGCGGCGACGACTACAAGATCAAGGTTTGGAACTACAAGCTGCGGCGCTGCCTGTTTTCGCTGCTCGGCCACCTCGACTACATCCGCACCGTGCAGTTCCACGTGGAGCACCCGTGGATCGTGTCGGCGTCGGACGACCAGACGATCCGCATCTGGAACTGGCAGCAGCGCTCGTGCGTCTCCGTCCTCACCGGCCACAACCACTACGTCATGTGCGCGCAGTTCCACGTCAAGGTGGGGACGCCTCCGAGACACTTCCACTGCCCTGGCGCCGCGCTGCGCCCGCGCGCCAGAGGGCAGCTGCTGGAGCCTCGCCACGCGCCGCCGAGACGCTCTCCCGCCCTTCGCTGCGGCGGCCCGCGCCTCGCGGCTCCACCTCCCCAGCCTCGCTCGCCTGACGCTTGCCCGCCCGTCCGCCCCGCGTCTGCAAAGGACGACCTGGTCCTGTCCGCCTCGCTCGACCAGACGGTGCGTGTGTGGGACATCGGCGGGCTGCGCAAAAAGACGCTGCCCGAGACGGTCACGCCAGAGGAGCGTAGCGCCATGGGGCCGCCCATGCCCGACCCCGCCGGCAGCAGCCCCGGAGGGTCGCTCTCGAGCAAGCTCGGCAAGGCGATCCCAAACATGAAGGTCGAGGACCTCTTCGGAGGCAACGACGCGACGGTCAAGTACGTTCTCGAGGGGCACGACCGCGGCGTCAACTGGGCCTCCTTCCACTCCACCCTCCCGCTCATCGTTTCTGGCGCCGACGACCGGCAGGTTGCTCCCACTCCCTCCCTGCGATCTCTCTCTCGCACCTCTCGCCCGCCACCTGCCTTGCGGGGAGGTCGCCTCCCTCCCCCCCCCCCCCTCCCCCCGCGGGCCGCGCGCCGCATCGCGCACATCTCTCCTCACCCCCGCCTCGCCCCTCCCCCCAGGTCAAGCTCTGGCGGATGAACGAGACCAAGGCGTGGGAGGTTGACACGCTGCGCGGCCACATCAACAACGTCTCGTGCGCCCTCTTCCACCCAAAGCAGGAGCTCATCATCTCAAACTCGGAGGACAAGTCGATCCGCGTGTGGGACATGTCCAAGCGGCAGGGCGTGCAGACCTTCCGCCGCGAGCACGACCGCTTCTGGATCCTCGCCGTGCACCAGGAGTCCAACTTGCTCGCCGCGGGCCATGACGGCGGCATGATCGTCTTCAAGCTCGAGCGCGAGCGGCCGGCCTTCACTCCAATCTCCGGTGGCGTGCTCTTCGTCAAGGACCGGTACGTGCGCTCGTTCGACTACGGCTCCGGCAAGGACACGGCGCTCATGTCGATCCGCCGCTCGGGCAACTCGGGCGGCCCCGCCGTCGCGCGCTCGGCGCGCCGCGGCACGACCAGGAAAACGCCGGACGCACGTGTCCATGACGTGCGGGCGGCGCGTGCCCATAGGTCCACTACAATGAGCAGGAGAACATGCTGCTCGTCTGCCACGACACCGACGGTGGCTCCTACGAGCTCTACTCGGTGCCGCGCGACGGCCGCTCGTCGGACCAGTCGCAGGAGTGCAAGCGCGGTGCGGGCAGCTCTGCCGTGTTTGTCGCGCGGCAGCGCTTCGCCGTGCTGGACAAGAACCGGCAGATCCTGATCAAGAACTTCCAGAATGAGGTGACGAAGAAGTGCGCACCGCCGCACGCTTCGACCGACTGCCTCTTCCCCGTGGGCACCGGCATGCTGCTGCTGCGCTCCGAGGAGCGCATCTCGCTCTTTGACGTGCAGCAGCGCAAGGCGGTTGCCGAGCTGTCGACGCCCGCCGTCAAGTACGTGGTCTGGTCGCCCGACAACTCTCACGTCGCCCTGCTCTCGAAGCACGGCGTCGTCATCGCAAACAAGAAGCTCGAGCAGCTCTGCATGGTGCACGAGACGATCCGGATCAAGTCGGGCGCGTGGGACGGCAACGAGGTCTGCCGCCCGCTCAACGCTCGCAGCCGCGCGGTCTGGGGCCGGCGCCTTGACCGCTCTCGGCGCGAGTAGGTGTTCGTCTACTCGACCCTCAACCACATCAAGTACTGCCTCATCAACGGCGATTCGGGCATCATCCGCACGCTCGACGTGAGTGGCTTTCCGATAGCACAGTTTTTCCGAGACGCCTGCTGCTGCTGCGCGTGCTCCTGAGAGCCACTGCGCCCCGCCCCGCCGTGTCCACTCCATCACCGCCTCACGGCGCGTCCGTGTCACGCCCGCGACACGCCCACGGCACGCCCTTGACGTTCACTGCAGGTGCCCGTCTACATCTCGCGCGTCTCTGGCGGCACCGTGCACTGCCTCGACCGGGAGGGCAAGGTGCGCAAGATGGTGGTTGACGTGACCGAGTGCCAGTTTAAGCTCTCGCTGCACAAGAAGGAGTTTGAGCGCGTGATCCGCATCATTAAGCAGTCGCGCCTCTCGGGCCACGCCATCATCGCCTACCTGCAGAAGAAAGGCTTCCCGCAGGTCGCCCTCCACTTTGTCTCGGACGAGCAGACGCGCTTCAACCTGGCCGTCGAGTGCGGCAACGTCGACATTGCGCTGCAGGCGGCGCAGGCGCTCGACTCGAAGGAGAACTGGCACCGGCTGGGCGCCGAGGCGCTCAAGCACGGCAACCACCAGGTGGTGGAGATGGCCTACCAGCGCACCAAGGACATGGAGAAGCTCTCCTTCCTCTACCTGATGACGGGCAACATCGACAAGCTCAAAAAGATGCTCAAGATCGCGGAGATGCGCTCCGACGTGATGGGGCGCTTCCACAACGCGCTCTACCTCGGCGACGTGCCCGAGCGCGTCAAGCTGCTCGTTGAGGCGGGCCACATCCCGCTCGCCTACATCACGGCCCTCACGTACGGCCTCACCGAGCAGGCCGAGGCCCTCTCGCAGCAGCTCACCGCGGCCGGGCTCCCGCTACCCGAGCCGC